ACGAGGCAACAGAGAAACTGAGCTAGCGAGGCAAGGAGAGGCACAGAGAGAGATGGAGAAAAAATAGACAGGGAAGCGTGAACACAGAAATACAGTGAGACAAACAGACAACAAGTGGACAGGCAGGAGGCGCAGCGACAGAGACACATACATACATAGATAGACAGAGACACTGACACCGACAGAGAGATGAAGACAAAGGATGAAATGAGACGTGGAAATAGGAAGATTTTTTTTATAAATAGAAACACAGGGAGACAATGAGAGACGCTAGGAGACATTGAGATGCAGGGAAACAATGAGACATGGACAGACACTGAGACACAGGGAGAGACAGAGAGCCACCGAGACACTAGGAGACATCAGGGAGACACAGAGAGGCACTGGGAGACATTGAGACACGGGCAGACACAGAGACGGGGGTGTTGGGTCGGGGTGGAGTGGAGTGCACGGGTGTCAATCAAAGCTCCCTTTGAAAACAGTCGGCAACTGTAAAAGGCAACACGCCAACTCACAGCCCTCTCTCACACACACACACATGTGCGTGCGTACGTGTGTACAAGCACTATACATACACACAGACACATATGTGCGTGCGTACGTGTGTACAAGCACTATACATACACACAGACACACATGTGCGTGCGTACGTGTGTACAAGCACTATACATACACACAGACACACATGTGCGTGCGTACGTGTGTACAAGCACTATACATACACAGACACACATGTGCGTGCGTACGTGTGTACAAGCACTATACATACACACATGCGCGTGCGTACGTGTGTACAAGCACTATACATACACAGGCACACATGTGCGTGCGTACGTGTGTACAAGCACTATACATACACACATGTGCGTGCGTACGTTTGTACAAGCACTATACATACACACAGACACACACGTGCGTGCGTACGTGTGTACAAGCACTATACATACACACACACATGTGCGTGCGTACGTGTGTACAAGCACTATACATACACACACACACATGTGCGTGCGTACGTGTGTGCAAGCACTATACATACACACACATACATGTGCATGCGTACGTGTGTACAAGCACTATACATACACACACACATGTGCGTGCGTACGTGTGTACAAGCACTATACATACACACACATACATGGAGACATACACACGTGCACAAAAACATATGTATTCACACACACACACACACTTGGGCAAACATCCTCGTACATATACATACACACACGCATGTACACACTCACAAACAAATACTGTATAAAGATCCCCTGTATAGCTTTAACAGACTGTCAGGGCAAGTGCTGTTAGAGAGCATCTGTGAAGGCCGACACTGACAAATGAGGGGGTGGGTGGCTAAAATCACGCCTGGCCACCTTTGTCTCCCCAATGCTGGTACTTATCAAAGGCTGAGTCTATCTAGGGGAGGCCCAAAACCAGTTCTAATATTTGTAGTCATTGGCCGTGAGTGGGAATTGAGCTCAAGTCACCGGGTTCGTAGCACAGTGTGCTAACCATTGTGCCACCGCTCTCAACACAAACAGGGATACACAGGGAGACACTCTCTCAGACAAAGATCCCCCATATAGCCTGAACAGAGTGTTGGTGCAAGTGCTGTTAGCGAGTACCTATCAAGGCCAACACGGCACACGAGGGGGTGGGTGGCAAGCACCACGCCCGGCCGCCTTTGTCTCCCCAGTGGCGATGTTTACACACCGCACCACGTACTCATTTGAGGCCGAGTCAACCTAGAGGAGGCCCAGGACCGGGTTCAGATAATCGTCACTGGCGTTGTTCCGTGAACGGGGATCGAACTCGGGCGCTAACCGCCACACTACCGCTCCCCACTAACACAACAACAACCGCCATTCGCCAATAAGTGGCGGTGACATCACCACGACGCTTGTGCCAGGCCATGTGCACCTTGAGGCCACGTGAAGTGTCGAACGCCTGCTAGCAGGAGGTCTCGGGGCAGACCCAGGTGCCACGGGTCGACTAACTAAGATGACTGAGATGACTGGCTGATGCACCACCTGTGCCCCCTACTGTGCCAACCTGCTGTGCTTTAGCCACCCGGCGCTCCGCTCGTTGTTGTGAGCGTCGCTCCTCCGCCCTCCGTTGTTGTTGGAGGGCGACTGCCTCCAACTGCCCAGTAGCGTCCTTCACGAGCCTCCTCCAGAGGCCGATCTTGACACCGCTGGTACCAGTCATCGGCAAGTGAACTCAGCTCCACGTCCTCCTGTACCATATCAATCCATCTCTTCTCTAGCCGGTGCCGCACCCGTTTAGCCCCCTCGATCCGGCCGAACCAAAGCTGTTTCGGCATGCGGTGGCTGGGCATGCAGGCTACATGACCCAGCCAACGAAGCCTTGCCTGCCGGAGGAGCTCACTGATGGGACCTTGCCCAGATCTACTAACACAGGACACATAGACACACACACACAAACATGCACACGCCAACACACGCACGCACAGTGGTGTCCGTGATGGGTATTGAGTGGCTGTCTGGCCTCGCCCGCACGGCTCTGCTGGGGCTGTGTCAACCAGGGCTCGTTATAGGCACATCGACCCGCGTGTGTGCGAGTGTGTGGGGGCAAGTGCTGTTATACACACACACACACACATGGATAGAGACACACTCACGTGCACATGGATATACACTCATACACGCACGGATAGAGGCCCACTCACACACACTCGTGACAAACACACGTTGACATCCACAGATACACTCACAACAACAACAAACGCACTTTGCCACCAAGTGGAGGTGACGTCACCAGCAGTGCTTGTGCCAGGCTGGGTGCACTCACAGCCACACACACATGAATAGATACACCAAGACACAACCTACAAATCGCCGTACGCCACTAGTGGTGGTGACATCACCACAGTGCTCGTGCCAGGCCAGGTGCACAGAGTCACACACTTAGGACACAAACACGCACAACTTCACAGATGGATAGAGGTACACACGCACAAGGAGATGCACGCATACACACAAGTGGATAGTCACACAAAGACAAAGATGTCCCCCTCGAGCCGACACAGGCTGAGAAGGCAAGTTCTATTAGCGAGCACCTGTGAAGGTCGACACGGCACACGACGAGAGGGTCGTGTGACGAGCACCATGCTTACGAAATCAGAAAACAAATATATATTATTTTAATTTTACCAGGTAAGGCCCACCGAACAATACGACTCTTTTTCAGAAGCGACCTGGCCACAAATGATAGCTCAACGAAACGAAATGGCTCATCATTATCACGTGGGAATTTATAGCAGCCAAATAATCAAAACGCATGTTGATTCTAAATGTGGAGGGAAAAAAAACGGAGGACACGGGAGAAAAATGCACACGACCACAGCGGAAAACATGAAAACTCCAAATATACAGCAGGGGTCAGGGTCGGGATCAACCCCACGACCTCCTGCATACAAGGCGAGGTAGGTAACATTTCACCACTGTGGCGGCCAGTGGCGAGATACAGATAGTTACATACGTACACAGACCCACACACACTGATATAAAGAAACATAACTACACAAATATACAAACACTCACAGCACATACACACATGTATTTATATAATGACACGGACATGCACTGCTAGATGAGGGCCTCCCCAAACGGTAGTTGCAGGTCACAAGGGTTACTTGAGCATACTTCACCACGATGGTCAGTGTGGGTTGGAAAAAGACAGTGGAGCATAGACATGGGAGCATAGAAGCACAGTGCAACAGGGTATATTTTTTTTCTGCTGCAATATCCTACTGCTGCCCAAGGCAGGCTGGTATGCATGGTGGTCACTCATTCAAGCACTATCCAGGCTCAACCCTTGCTTCGCCTTCCAAGATGTGATGAGGTCAGGTTCATGCCGGGTGATTTGGTCATGCGCTGTGGGCGTGTGTGTGCACGCGCGTGTATACCACACGCGCGCGCGCACACACCTATGCAGTGTGCTTACGACCGGCTCCAGTTTAACAGCAGAGGTCTCACTCCGAATCAGTCGAGCGGCAATATCTTTTCATCGGTTGCGTAACGCTGTGTGGAAGCTACCTGGTCTGTCGCTCCGCACTAAGCTTCAGGTCTTCTCGGCCACGGTCATTCCCTCCCTTCTCTACGCTTGCGAAACGTGGACCCGCCTAATGGAACATCTTCGCCGGTTAGAAACATTTAGGCTAGCCTGCCTACGATCCATCCTGGGTTCAACCGGGCTGGATTGTGTGAGGAGCTCACAAATCTTTGAAAGATCTGGGCAAGGTCCCATCGGTGAGCTCCTCTGGCACGCAAGGCTGCGTTGGCTGGGTCATGTAGCCCGCATGCCCAGCCACCGCATGCCGAAACAGCTTTTGTTCGGCTGGATCGAGGGGGCTAAACGGGCGCGGCACGGGCTAGAGAAGAGATGGAGTGATGTGGTACAGGAGGACGTGGAGCTGAGTGGACTTGCCGATGACTGGTACCAGCGGTGTCAAGATCGGCCTCTGTGGAGGAGGCTCATGAAGGACGCTACTGGGTAGTTGGAGGTAGTCGCCCTCCAACAACAACGGAGGGCGGAGGAGCGACGCTCACAACAACGAGCGGAGCGCCGGGTGGCTAAAGCACAGCAGGTTGGCACAGTAGGGGGCACAGGTGGTGCATCAGCCAGTCATCTTAGTCAGTCGACCCGTGGCACTTGGGTCTGCCCCGTGACCTCCTGCCCGCGGGCGTTCGACACTTCACGTGGCCTCAAGGTGCACATGGCCTGGCACAAGCGTCGTGGTGACGTCACCGCCACTTCGTGGCGAATGGTGGGTATTGGTGTTGATATTGCACTAATAGCACTTGACCAAACATTCTGTGAAGGCTATGGGGGGGGGGGGATATTTGTCTTTGTACCGCACCGCGCTACAAAGCTGTTGAGAGTATAGGGGAGACCTTTGTGTTTGTCATTTTATACCGAATATAATGTTGGTGTGTGCATGTTTATGAGACAGAGACAGTGGTATGCAGGCTCACCGAAGTCTAGGATGTTGTTATGACTCATGTTTTGTAGTTTCATGATGGCCTGCCTGTGACACACACACCAGAGACACAAGCACACACGAACATTAAGCGCCATCATCGTCACCATCATCTTCGTCATCGTCACCATCACCACCATCTTTATTGTCATCGTCACTATCATTGCCAATATGCACCCGTCGTGATCACCGTGGTTGGGAGTAGAATGTGGCAGTAAAGTGTTCATAATAAAGGTTTTTGGGTTAGATCGCGTTATTTATAAATGTGTCGTAACCCTCCACCACCCGACACGGGCAATCAGCAAAAAAGCGTCACGTTGACAAAAGACAAAATAGTTCACTACTTTAGCCCACTGGTGTGTTGAAGAGTGAATCCACAACATTTACAGTTTGAGTACGACGTTTCGCTGGTAATTACATCCAGCACCATCGGGCAATTCGCCAGAATGGTAAAGCCCTCGCTTGCTCCCAGGTCTTAAATAGAGCAGCAGGGTGACGTCATCATTTAACTCATTCAGGTGCAGTGATTTGAGGTGGAGGGGGGGGGGGTTATTGTAATTATATAATCGATTGCTAATCAGTCAATGGTTATGATTAGTAATGAGTTGTAGATTAGTAATTACTTGTAATGTGTGTTATTGTGATTATATGCTACGTTAGTAATCCGTTAATTAGATCTAACCCAAAAACCTTTATTATGAATAATATTGGTCGCGAAAGCCTACGTGTTAAACTGAGTGGAGTGTTCGTCGAAAGAAAAACAAATGGAATAAATGGGTTGTGATGGGTGGGACGCGTGGTTTGCAGGGTGGAGCATGAGGGCGGGTCACCGAGACGACGGGACGCAGGCGAGGCACCCAGAGGGCGGCGTGGTGAAGGTGACGACGAGAGTCTAGTAGAGGTCCTCAACTCGTTCCCGTTCCAATGACGTAGGTGTACATCATCAGGTTTTCTTCCGATTCCGATCGTAATCGGAACGTAACCGGAATAAAAACTAAATAAAATAACTTTATCGGTACCAAGGCTCCCACCAGGCCATGCGGGAGGGCGTGTGGCTACGGTTCTCTACGGTGAGAAACAACAACAACAACAACGGCCTTACTACTACGCCTCTCGAAATAAAATTAACGCCGAATCGCTTGTGCAATCGCGATTCGACGGTGAACGGGATCCGCACCCTGCAACAACTTGCAGACGTCTCGGGAACGGCACGGGGGCAAGAGGTCACTTTGGGTTTCATAAAAACTGGGATCTGTGACTGACAAGGTCGGGACGACCTCTTTGCCGTGACCCAGACGCCACGGCCCCTGCTCCCCCTCCTACCCCCCCCCCCTCCCCTGTCGCTCACCGAAGGAGACCGAAGAGAAGCGAGGATTTCTCCTCCAGTGCCGTCTCCGTGACAAACGCGAAGCCGAACAGCGTCGAGACGTCCACCTCGAACGCCGTCGGAGCCGGGTCCAACCGCAGGAAGAGTCTGCGGAGATGCCAGGGAGAGAGAGAGAGACGAGACACGGGGAGAAACGTCGGGACGAGTGCGAAGCGACACGCAGAGAGCGGAGGCATGGGGGGGGGGGAGAAAGAGGGGTGGATAGAGAAGACGTGGAGGGACGCAGGGAGACAAAAGAGAGATGTGAGACATGGGGAGACATCGGGAGATGCCGGGAGACCAGGGGGGACAAGGTCACCACGGTGGTGAGATGTTAACTCCCTCGCCTGGTATACGGGAGGTCGTGGGTTCCATACGGACCCTGACCCCTGTTGTATATTTAGAGTTTGCTTGTCACTCTCCCCGTGGTAGTGTGGATTTTTCTCCAGGTCTTCTGGTTTTTATCTCCACCATAAGAATCAACATGCGCTTAGAATACTCGGCTGTACAGTAAAACCTTGGATTGCGAGCATAATTCGTTCCGGAAACGTGTTTGTAATCCAAAGCACTCGCACATCAGTTGTGATCACGTGACGCTCGGCAGTACAAAGCGTACACGTACACTGCTCGTATTGCAAGACCCTCGCTCGTTTATCAAATTAATATTCATTTAAAATTTTTGCTCGTCTTGCAAAACACTCGCAGTCCAAGTTACTCGCAATCCAAGGTTTTACGATATTTCCAAATGATAAGCCACTTCGTTGAGCTATCATTTGTGGCCAGGTCGCTTCTGAAAAAGAGCTATATAGCTCATTGGGATTAACCTGACATAAAAATTATAGTTTCATTTAATAAAAGGTAGACACGAGACGATGGGGATGTAAAGGGACACATGAGGAGACACAGGGAGACATGGGGAGACACAGGGAGACATGGGGAGACACAGGAAGGCAAGGGGAGACACAGGAAGGCAAGGGGAGACATAGGGAGACATGGGAAGACACAGGGAGCAATTGGGAGACACAGGAAGACACAGGAAGGCAAGGGAAGACACAGGGAGACATGGGGAGACACAGGAAGGCAAGCGGAGACACAGCGAGCCATGGGGAGACACAGGAAGGCAAGGGGAGACACAGGGAGACATGGGGAGACACAGGAAGGCAAGGGGAGACACAGGGAGACATGGGGAGACACAGGGAGCCATGGGGAGACACAGGGAGCCATGGGGAGACACAGGGAGCCATGGGGAGACACAGGGAGCCATGGGGAGACAGGAAGGCAAGGGGAGACAGGGAGACATGATGAGATATAGGAAGGCATGAGGAGACGCAGAAAGGCATGAGGAGACGCACAAAGGCATGAGGAGACGCAGGAAGGCATGATGCGACACAGGGAACCATGGGGAGACGCAGGAAGGCAAGGGGAGACAGAGAGGTGAGCGGAGGTGAAGTGAGACACAGAGAGACAAAGGGAGGCAATCTGAGACACGGCGAGGTAAGGGGAGGTCAAAGGAGAAACAGGGAGACGAGGCGACGCATAAAGAGGCACGTGGACGCGCGGGGATGGACTCGCAGGGATGGACGGTGGAACAGAGATACAACAGAAGTCCAAGTACATATTTAACACAACATAATCCGCCATTCGCCCCTAAGTGGTTGTGCCTTCACCTCGGCAAACGTACAAAGCAAGGTGCACTTTGAGGCCAAAGGGTTTTTTTTTTAGAAGGCACGCGACAGACCCAGGTGCTGTGGGTTAACAAGCTGAGGTGATTGGCAGATGCACCACCTACATTCACGCACGCGCAAAGAAACTCACCACATGCACACACATATAAAGATGCCCGTGCAGCCATGCAGACCGCGAGGGCAAAATGCTGTTAGCGAGCACTTATTAAGGCCGGCACGGTCCACGAAGAAGTGGTGTGCCAATATGTACACACCGTACCAGGTACTCATGTACGGCTGAGTCAACCATTCTTTGTATCGCGATGATGCCGATAATACAAATCGGCATAAAACTGTGGAGAAATTACAACAGTAATACACGAAGACACATGGGTTTTTACTTTTACAGACGCATATACATACACACAGATACACCCGGCGAGCAGGGTTACGTTCCCGTTCACGGCTAACATCAGCGGCGAGTGATATTTCAACCTGCTCTGGGCATCAGCATCCCCGACTCTTCAACAAACCCATATTGAGCAGCCTGGCAAACTATGGCCAAATAATCCTTCATCCAGCAGTGGAATGACATAAAGGGGCAGCAAACGACTGCGTGTAACTGCCTCTGGTCGCCATGCTCACAGTTGCTCCCATTGTTACGACACCGCCAATCCCTCTAGCCACACTATAGCCGCAGTCTCCCCAGGGAGAGAGAGGGGAGGAGATGGAGGGGGAGAGAGAGGGAGGGAGAGAAGTTGCGTGTTCTGTCTGCCACCTGCGTAGGTCAATGCAGGGTCGGCCATTGTGAAGGAAAGTAGCAAAGTAACTTATACGGGCAGAGTGAGAGGGGTGGGGTGGGGAGAGGAGTGGAGAGAAGGGCTGAGATGTGGGGAGTGAAAGACAGAGAGACGCAGAAGAGTGACCAGGAGCGAGAGAATATAATGGCGCGAGAAAGGAGAGACGGAGACACAGACTGATGTACAGGGACAAAGACACGTGTAGAGAAACACTCAACACACACGGACAGACGTGCCTGCTCTCAGTCCGATGCAGACACACTCGCGGAAAAATATTCTCACGTATACAAGCGCTCACTTGTAAACTCCCGCGCACTCGCACATGCTTACACACACTCGCACGCATGCCCGCTCTCGCGCACACTCACACACACCAACACCCGCCATTCGCCACTGAGTGACGGCGACATCGCCCCGGCGCCTGTGACAAGCCAGCTGCACTTTGAGGCCACGTGAAGTGTCGAAGGCTCGCTGACAGAAGGTCACGGGACAGACCCAGGTGCCATGGGTTGGCTGACTGAGATAAATGGCCGATGTACCTAGCTGAACTGTGCCAACTTTCTGCATTTTAGCCGCCCGGCACTCCGCTCAATGTTGTGAGCGCCGCTCCTCTGCTTTTTGTTGTTGCTGGAAAACGACTGCCTCCAACCGCTGAGTAGCGTCCTTCAAGAGCCTCCTCCACAGACAGACACACATTCACTCACACAGACACCCTCACTCACACAGTGCCAAGCAATCTCCTTCATACACGAAAGACAAAGATCCCCCATGTAGCCTTAACAGACTGTTGGGGCAAGTGTTGTTAGCGAGTAGCACCTATGAAGGCCGGGATGGTAAACGAGGGGGTGGGTGGCCAGCACCACGCCCGGTCGCCTTTGGCTCCCCAGTGGCAATATCTACTACACATCGGACCAGGTACTCATGTGGGGCTGAGTCGACCTCGGGGAGGCCCATGACCACTTCAGATAATCGTCACCGGTGTTGGCCGTGAGAGGGAATCGAACTCGGGTCGTCGGGTTCGTAGCACAGCGCGCTAACCGCTGCACTACCACTCCCTCACACACACTCACATAAACACACTCGCACACCCTTGCTCGCACACAAGCATTCACACTCATTCGCAACACATACACACTCTAACTCACACTATCACTCACACACACACACATACACTTTCCCGTACACACACACACTCTCCCTGGCTCACGCACACTCTCTCTCACACACAGGGAGCGTGAGAGAGGCTATGGGAGCTCATGGAAGTCACAGCGCTCAGAGATGAAAGCTTCCAATGACATCGAGAGCTCGGAGTGAGGGGAGAGAGAGAGGGGTGAGAGAGAGAAGTAAGGGAGAGGCGAGAGGGGGAGAGAGATACGTGAAAGAGAGGGGAGAGAGGGGAGAGAGAAGAGAGGGGAGAGAGGGGAGAGAGGGGAGAGAGAAGAGAGAGGAGAGAGGGAAGTGAGTAGAGCTACACATGGAACTCGGAGCTGATGTAAAACTATATTTTATTTTACAAGGAAAGTCCCACTGATCTATGTAGCTCTTTTTCAGAAGCGACCTGGCTATCACAAATGCTAGCTCAACGAAGTTGCTTATCTCATGCACATTTGCAGCAGCAGCCAATACTCTAAACACCGTGATGTTGATTCCAAATGTGGAGGGAAAATCCAGAGGACCCGGAGAAAAATCCACGCGACCACGGGTAGAACATACAAACTCCAAATATGCAGACGTTAGGATCGGGAACAAACCCACGACCTCCTGTATACCAGGCGAGGCAGTTAACATCCCACCATTTTGGCGCCGTAAACCTAACACTGACCCTAACCCTTCCTGCTGATGTGTGGGGGTAGCCATAGTACATATGAACTAGGGTGGTTAAATAATTTAAAACCGTGAAAACCCAGTTAACCATTTTGCCGCGAGTATACAATTGCCTCCGGGCATTAAAAGCGACCAACAACATTCCGATGCTTAACTGAGAAACGAAGGCAGCCGTGGCGTTGACGGCGAGCGGCAGTACTGGACTTGCCACGCAGAGGGGTGCCGGTTCGATTCCATCTCCCCCGTCTCCCCCCAACTCTCTCGCCTCCGTGCACACAGAAGTATGAGTGGGCTGTCACCACGGCTGGTCTATTATCGGCAGGTCGCGCGTGGTCGTGGTGGTAGCGGTGTAAGGTGCGGGTAACGCCTAACTCACCCAACACGCCCCGGCTAGCGAAGAAGAGGAGGCCAAGATACTCCTCAGAGATGCTTCTAGTGGAGGCATGCAAACATAATTTCAGACCTTTATCTTTTAGTTACCCATGATAACGATTGAGCCTGGGACCCTGCCGCCGTGCCATTTGCACTTCGTCTGCCTGCCAATGAGTGCATTCATATACTCGAATTACGCCGGAATCGATTTCGGGTTCCAGACTTTCAGAACTAATAATCGCTTCTGCAAACGGTTACTGAGAAAGGGGGACGAGAGTAACGGGAGAGAGATATGGGGGGTGTGGCGAGAGAGAGGGAAAGAGACAGAGAGAGTGGAAGAAGAGGTGAAGACATGACAGAGAGTGAGGGGAGAGGTGGCGAGGGGAGAGAGACAAGAGAGGGGTGAGAGGCAGTGGCGAAATGTTTTTTTTATTTTACCAGGTAAGGCCCGACTGAGCTATATACCTCTTTTTCAGAAGTGACCTAGCGATCACAAATGAGAGCTTAACAAAGGGGCTGACCACGTTGAAATTTATATTCGCTAAATAATCTAAATGCACGTTGATTCTAAACGTGGGGGGACAAACCGGAAGAACCCGGAAAAAATCCACGTGACCACGGGGAGAGAGAAACCCGCACAACTCCAAATATACAGCAGCAGGCGTCAGGGTCGGGATCGAACCTGCGACCTCCTGTATACCAGGCGAGGTAGTTAACATCTCCTAGCCACCGTGGCGCCCCAATAGACTGGGACAGCAGAGGAGAGTGAGGGCTGGTCATTGTGAACCTCCCACTGGGCCAGGTCAGGGGGCGACGGCTGCGAGAGATTCGAGACCGGAGCTAAGTGTGGAGTTGGCAACGCTCAATTCGAGAGGGAGGGGGAAAGAGGAGGGGGGGGGGGGGGTGGAAGGAGGAGGGAGGGGGGAGACACAGGGAGGTGATGGGTTAGAGCAAAGGGAAGAAGGTGATGGAGGGAAGAAGAGAGGGGTAGAAGTAAAAAGAGTTAAGAGAGGGAGGGAGGGGAGAGAAGGGGGGAGAGTGGGAGATGATGGGTGGATGGAGAGGGAAGGTGGGGGGGGGGGAGAGAGAAAGGAGGGGGAGGGATATAATGGGGGGAGAGAGGGGTGGAGTAAGACGATGGGTGGAGAGGGACGGGAGGGAGGGGGCGGAGGGATTTGATTATAGCCAAGCCACCACTGCTCTTCCGCCCGTGATGAAAGTGAGAGAGGGAGAGAGGGAAGGAGAGAGTAGCGGAGGGGAGTCAAGGAGGGGAGAAGGGGGGGAGAGGGGTGGGGAGAGAGAGGGGGGGGGAGACACAGGTAGACACAGGTTTGATGTCTTCACCTCCAGTGACTGCAAAGAGGATTCATTTACACGAGCACAGGAGATAGATTTACGCGCACACACACACGTGGACATGCACACACACACACACATATATACATAAAAACAAAGATCCCCTGTATAACCTTAACACACTATTGAGGCAAGAACTCTTCGAGAGAACCTACCATTAATAGAACCTAGAAAGGGTAGGTGGCAAGCAACACACCCCGCCGCCTTTGTCTCCCCAGTGCTTATGTTAACCTACTTCAGCAGGTACTCGTTTAAGACCGAGTCAACCCAGAGAAGGCCCAAGATCGGTTCATATATTTTTCAACGATGTCAGCCATGGTCGGGAATTGAACTCGGGTCGCTGGGTTCATAGTGCACTTCCACCCCATGTAAATGGTGCGCAGTATAGGCACAAATACTATAAAACAACCACGACATCCATCATCACCATTACACCACCACTCCATTGTCACCACCACCAGTATTACCATCATCCCCACCGCTATTACCAAAATTACCACAAATCACATTCATCATCACCATCATCATCACTGCATCGACCACCAACACATTTGCATTCATCACCATCATCTCCACCACCACCACCATCATCATCATAATCGCCACCATACACCTCCAACAAATGTGCATTTATCACCATAATCTCCACCACCACGATCGTCATCACCGCATCCACCATCAACACAATCGCATTCATCACCATCATCTCCACCACCACCACCATCATCATCACCACCACCAGCACCACCATTACATTGCCACGCCCATTCCCACTCCCGCCACCATTGCAATCATCAGCACCCACCACCACAATCACACACCATCTCTCACATGTATTTATTTTGTCCGTAAGTAATACCGCAGGCGAGCGAGTGGCTTTCCGGGCTACGCCTGCCCGGGCAGGCTGGGTTGGGAGCTCGTTTAATGTGGCGTTATTCCCGGGCTGTAATTTATAGCGAACCACAGCTCTTGAAAATTGTCAGCAGAGCCATGTGTGAATGTGGAATTGATGAGTAACAGGGTGGTGGTGTAGGGGAGGAGGAAGGTGGCTGTGGATTGGAAGGAGGGTGGGGGGGGGGGGTCGATTTGAGTTTATTCCCACATGTATATACAGTACATGCATATATACATACAGGTGTGCATATACACATGCACGCGTGGATACTTACAACGCACACACACACACACACGCGTGTGTGTGCGTAACTAAAAGTGTCTGTCATACACACACGTATGCATACCCCCCACAAATGTACAATACACACATGCTCGTATTTTGATGTATATACGCACGCATAATTGCGTATGCATAAAATGCATACGCACGTACGCATATACCCATTCTTGCATGTATACATAAGCACGTGTGTATACGTAAAACAATCAATGTCTACTAGCACACACACACACACATAGCTCTATTTTCCAACACACACATATACGTGTATATGCACAGCGATACGCAACATTCATATCCCTATACAATGAGCAAGGGGTCCCATGTCGTCTACACAGGCTGTTTGGGGCGAGTGCTGTTCGTGAGCACCGCCTGAACCCGGGATCTCAGCAGTGCCGACAGTGCGACACAGCCACCACGAATCCCCTTGACACGGCCATCGTGAACCCCTGTACCCAGTCCAAATGTAACAATTACTTGCAAATAACTCAGCTGGGGTTACGCCTCGCAACGCACGCCCCTTTCTGCGAAAACTACTGCCAACCCATGTCCGCGAAACTCGGCAGCGCCTTAATCCTTCATGATAGCCCTGCGCTATGCGAACGACAGGGCGATTACCAAACATGCTACTACCTCTTGAGTGCGTCGTTGGCGAGATAGGAGTCCACGGATTTGTCAGTGTGGCCCGGCGGGCACGTGAACCAGGGCACCCATGGGAACTCGAAGGACTCTTCGGGGCGGTGGTGGCCCGCGAAGGTTGGGGAGACGGGGGGCGTGAGGGACAGGTCTGTGTCTTGAGACATCTGTGAAACGCAAGAGGTCAAGGTCAATAGGTCATCACAGTTCAACACAGCACCCTGACATCAGCTTGTTTTTGCCAAGTCGCGCAGTTTCGCCCATTCACAAATCTGCTCTCACAATCGCGTGACCAACACCACCACCACCAACCACCACCATCTCTGGCTTTGGGGGTCTTCCCCTTGTTAAGCAAGGATCGCTCTTCCAGTCTTATCGTCACCACCGTCTGGGTACCACTCCAATGCCTGCTTTGATAACCCGCCTTCCTCCACCCTGCACACGTGGTCTATCCATCACCCCCTCCCTCTTACTGATCACATCGACAATGCTTTGCCGCCACGTTCTATTGAGAACCTACAAGTTGCTACCCTCGCTCGCTCAACGGTGGTCAGTCGTCCCCTGATCACACCTCCATCGCTACTTCCACGGTTACCGTTCCTGTGCATGTCCACTCATCGATTCCTCCTCTCGTGTGTTGACGACTCGATCTTTTCGACTCATCCACACGACGTTCAACCACCATCACACTGCAGGTCACAATAACACACCCTCCATCTATCTTCTCTCTCCCACTCAATCACTCCCTCACACCCTGTCACTCGCTCACCCACTTTTCTGCGTTTTCCCTCGCACTTCTTTCACTTTGAAGTCCCTTCCACGCTCCTCTTTTCTCAAATTATTGTGCAATGACTATGCTCAGTTCAATAAAAGTGTCGCCGCTTATCTGTTTGCAATGTTAACAGCGCCGTTTGTTACCGGTCGCTTTGCGTCTTGACCTTTCAGGCCTGTGCTCAGCAACTATGATTTAAAAACAAAAATAACAGGTCAGGACCAAGCAACTCAATACACAGGACCTCCCAGAAAACCACTCTTGAATGGCTAGGTAAAGCTTCGCCGTAGATTTTTATTCATTAATTTGCTTCAAATGCCAACCACCATCACCACAAACACGGTGTGAAGGCTGCCACCGATAGCCAGCCTGCAGTGCCTGCCAATGACCACCACAGGGCTTCTTCTGTGTGCCAATTAGGGAATCGTGGCTGGAGTTATATACACAGAGATTAACTCAATTAATGCACACGGGAGTCAAGGCCCAAACAGCGAGCTGTGTGAGCAAAAGTTACAAAGTGTGCAGTATAGACGACCAAGGGTCTGAAAAATTAATACTGCTCTGTAACATGTGTCTGAATATAATTATACATGCAACACACACAACGCACGTGCGCTTATATAGCGTACGAGGGGGTGGGTGGCCAGCACCACGGCCGGCCGCCTTTGTCTCCCCAGTGGCGATGTTCACACACCACAGCAGTTACTCGTTTGAGGCTGAGTCGACCTTAGGGAAGGCCCAGGACCGGTTAAAATAATCTTCACCGGTGGTGGCCGTGAGCGGGAATCGAACTCGGGTCGCCGGGTTCGTAGCGCAGCATAGCGCTAACCACTACACTACAATGCGTTACGCTTAAACATGCGCAGGTCACGTGACAGATTTGACGTCACAGCTCACTTGCCGAGCAATAATATATGCATTTTTGAGCTCTCCCCCAAAAGAAAAGTGTATTTTCATAATTTTTGTATGGTGTACAGTCTGGAAAGTACCCACATGGCAAATTTCAAGTTTGTTGCATGTCGGGAAGTACGCTAAACATTTTGAACAGACAACACATATTCACAACTTTACCTTTTATATATATGGAGATATAGCGTATGAAGGTAAAGGTGCAGCAGGCCATTGAGCAAATTCTGGAAAAAATGTCCTCCACTAGAGAGAGCTCTAGACGGCATCTCCAGAAGGTAATCCCAATTATTTCAAGACGTCTTGACAGGAAGTGGAATTACCCACACTTTACCTCGCCACATGCAACATACCGACCATGCTTTCCCACCTGATGATGGACGCTTGTGTTGCGCCCAAAACGTCGTGATTTATTTTATTTTATACCTACGTAACTTTACCGAAAGAACCAAAGAGTATGCGTGTTTCTAGTTTGGCTCGATGAATTTCAGGCATTCATAGTGAACCCTAAGAATGATTAACTTATCTTAGTTTGGCTCTTTGAACCCGGAGCATTCCAATGGAGCCTCCGGTTGAATCTATGAGCCTCAGACATTAACCTTAAATCATAAAGCAACCTCTGTGATCATGTAAATAAAGTATATTTCAGTAGTCGTCCTACATTAAATCATACCAATGGAGTGCACGATGCACCCACCAAAGATATGCATTACAAGTTCTTAACCATTGAAATTGTCATTCGGTGTTCAATTATTTGTGCGGGATATAACTTGAGTGAATTGCAAGCGATCTGGAATTCTTGCTATTAGTTTCCCAATTAATATTTAAAAGTTTTTATTTTTTTATTTTACCAGCTAAGGCCCAATGAGCTATACAACTCTTTTTCAGAAGCGACTTGGCCACAAATGATAGCGCAACGAAGTGGCTTATCAGGTGGAAAATTACATCAGCCAAATATTCATTTCAAAAATTTTTTGGGTTAGATCGCGTTATTTATGTGTCGTAACCCTCCACCACCCGGCACGGCCAAACAGTAAAAAATGTGTCACGTTTACAAAAGACAAATAGTTCACTATATTCTTGGTTCTTACAGACGGAACCAGATGTGATTCCGGACATACAGTACCCTGGTGTCTACAAACTAAGTTGCCTCTGTGGTAGTAGTTACATTGGAGAAACCAAACGACATGTCTCGGACCGCATTCGTGAACACAAAGCAGACCTTAAACACGGTAGGACCAACACCTCGGCCGTGGCAGATCACTGTTATAATTCAGTAGGCTCACATGACATTGACTTCTCCAAGACAGAGGTTCTTTGCAAGCCATCTGGCTACCATGAGAGATTCGTTTATGAGGCTATCCAAATATACAAACAGAGACAATTTCAACCGAGAAGATGGATTCTGGCTTAGCAATCATTGGAAGGATTTGATAAACCATTTCGGATCTTAATTGATTATTCACGGTTACGGTGGCTTTCAGACGGCATACATAAAAAAATTTATCTCCCCCCCCCCTCCTCTTTTCCGAACATAGATGGACTCGTCCATCTAAACAAACTGTCAAATCGCTATCCGTGACGCTAACGTTTTAAAAATAAATAAATAAATCCTCACCGCCACTTTTTCTCAAATGTTCTTGCCGTTGGGTTTCACACCTGATGACTGCTTGTGTTGCAGTCGAAACGTCGTGAGAATTGTATTGTTTTACATATATTTTATTATTTTATTGTTTCCCTTCAACTTGACTTTACCGAAAGAACCAAGAATATGAATCACTGCAGTCACGAAAGCTTTAAATTAAAAAAAATCGTTCACTACTTTAGCCCACGGGGTGTGTTGAAGAGTGAATCAACATCATTTACAGTTTGAGTAGTACGACGTTTCGCTGGTAATTACATCCAGCATCATCGGGCACTTTGGCAGAATGGTGAAGCCATCCACTTGCTCCCGGTCTTAAATAGAGCAGCAGCACGGTGACGTCATCATTTAACCCAATCAGGTGCAGTGATTTGAGGCGGGGGGAGGGTATTGTAATTATATAATAGATTGGTAATCATTCAATTGTTATTCATTAGTATGTTTCCCCTATAAGGAATTGTAATATATATTTCATTTAATAATACGCTTCCAGGCCGCACTAAGCCTGTAGCTGTCAGAGCGATTAAAGTTATTTGTATTTCTCTCAATTTCAATGGATTCTCGAATTAGTCTTGGCCAGCAATAATTAGTTTTACATAACACTTAAACGTTATCAAAATCAATTGAGTGTCCTTGTTGACAAGCATGTTATCTAACCGCGTGACGTCGATTCTAAATGTGGAGAGGAAAAACCGGAGGACCCAAATAAAAATCAACGCGACTACGGGGAGAGACACGCAAACTCCAAATATACAGCAGCGGGCATCAGGGTCGGGATCGAACCCACGACCTCCTGTGTACCAAGCGAGGTAGTTAACATCTCTTAGCCACCGTGATGATGATGAGAGAGAGAGAGACACGCAAACTCCAACTATACAGCAGCGGGCATCAGGGTCGAGATCGAACCCACGACCTCCTGTGTACCAGGCGAGGTAGTTAACATCTCCTAGCCACCGTGATGATGATGAGACACGAAAACTCCAAATATACAACAGCAGGCGTCGGGGTCAAGATCGCACCCACGACCTCCTGTACACCAGGCGAGGTAGTTAACATCTCCTAGCCTCTACATTACATTCGCTGGCCTTTTAATCACCAAACAATAAGATACTGCATATCGACATCGTCAACAATAATAATGAACATATCAGATGAACAACAACAAGAATGTGATATATATTAACACCAACACCGATTTGACATGTCAACAATATCAACATTAATGACATGCCAACAATATCAACAACAATGACATGCCAACAACCAACAGTGTGGACAACATTAATGTTCATATCATAAACATTACGTGGATACATATTACCAAGAAGATCTTATGAAACCATAACCGAAGCCACAATATAAAGTATCCACAACCATAACCACATTATAAACAACAACAGCATTATAAAGTGCCTTATTTTATAAACCAGGGGTACAATTCCGTAGTTTAACATCGAAAACTATAGGTGGCGGAGCTTAAATATCATTCAGATGTGCGTACGAATAAAAAAAGATATTATATAAATTAATATAACTTCAAATAGTACCACAAACACAATGTATGGAGCGTAGTAATAAATAATTGCATTGTAAGTGGCTGTAAAGTTGAATATTAAAGCAGAGACGTGATCGCCTGAAACCATAAACATGTTAATATAAATACAATAAGCATAAGATGATGTTGTCTTGACAAGCATTTCACGTTCGATACGCTATTAACATTTACATTGTGAACTTAACAACTGCGTTTTGTTGACACTTTGCAAGCACGTTTAACGACTTTCTGTTTAAAAAAAAATACTTTGAAAACTGTTATAGACTAATAGCGAGTAAGGCGGCACTGCGATTGTTACTGGACAGATAACGCAAGAGTTCTGAGGTGAAATTTTACACGAACATTTATTCTCAGAAAACGTACGCGAACTCAAGTAAATAAACTCATAATCGGTGGCAAATTTGTGCATTGTCGTTGTTAAATGGTAAAAGATGTAGGGTAATAAAACTCGCTTACGAACCCTTTAAGCGACCGCCTTTTCGCTGTGGGAACCCCAAGAAACCGAGCACTTTCTTTCCCGCGAAAAAAATCCGAACCGGGCGCCACTGCGCATGCGCGGTGAGCGCGATTCTTCCGTTTCCCCACCGCACACTGCGCATGCGCCCCGTTCTCAAGTTTCTTAGGTCTCCTACAGGCTCCGCCTCCCACACGAACCCGGCCCACCACCTCGCGAGCCCCGCCCACCACCCACAAGACCACGCCCCCAATTATAACGTTTCTAAAGTTTCACGCTATTAATCTAGATTTGAAGTTTTCGTGACTGAAGTGACGTAGGCATAAAAATACATATAAAAATAAATTAAAATTTAATCACGTATAAAAACTAAAATAAATTAAATCACATGTACAAATAAATATAAAAAAGACATTTAAATTAAATCACACTTGATTAAATAATCATCATATTGTATTTTATACTGCAGGAGAAATCCGATGAGCTATAAAACTTTTTTTTTCACAGATGTCCAGTAGGGGCACGGGGCAAGAACGTTACAACAAACGGTAAAAAAAAACATTAAAATATTGCAAATTACAAGCAAGGTAAACAAATCACCCAAACGCGTACGAAGACCATCCCCATCTTACCAGGCTAAGCCCAAAGTTTGAAGTTTATTTCGCGTAGCCAGGATCGAGAACCCTAAGGGCCAGGATAGGAGTCTCATTTTGGACCGTCCATATATGACGTCACGCGATTTTGGACTATTATTGACCTCCCGCCCTTCGTCACACGACGTCACAAAAAGTCAGACCCCCCCCCCTCAAATATGACGCCACAAAGCTCTGCCCCTCCCCCCCCCCCCAAATATAAACCATGCTTCAAATCGCTTTAAACTATTGGCATTGTAGTGCGTATTTAATGTGGCGCTGCACTCTGATGTTGTAGGAGAAACATTTATTAAAAAGTCTATTTAATTAAGTAGAACGTGTTGTCTTTATTTATTTAAAGTTGCGCATTTTGATGTGACGTCACATTTCTCACCCCCCCCCCCACTCGTCACACAGCGTCACAAATGTCTGACCTCCCCCCCCCCAGGTGCGTGACGTCATTTATGGACGGGCCCTTTGCAAGCGTGACCAACCTGGGTTGTCACCAACATACCTGTCAAAAAAGTGATACCTGCCAAACCTTGTGATCAGTGCCCCCTACCTTACTGCAGACCAATTCAGACCTTATTGGTCACCCCCGTGCCCCTTATAAATCTCAACGTTCGTCCTACAAAGTCCCATCACGAGGGAGATAAACACAAACAAATAGACGCACCTTTTATATTGTCCGTGTTGAAACGGCTAGACGCCGTATGGACCTGGACACTCAACTTCCCTATTTAATTTCCCTATTTAATTTCCCTATTTAATTTCCCCACTTAATTTCCCTATTTAATTTCCCTACTTAATTTCAATACTTAATTTCCCTATTTAATTTCCCTACTTAATTTCCCTACTTAATTTCCCTACTTAATTTCCCTATTTAATTTCCCTATTTAATTTCCCTACTTAATTTCCCTATTTAATTTCCCTACTTAATTTCCCTACTTAATTGCCCTACTTAATTTCACTACTTAATTTCCATATTTAATTTCCCTACTTAATTTCACTACTTAATTTCCCTACTTAATAACCCTACTTTATTTCCCTACTTTATTTCCCTACTTAATTTCGCTACTTAATTTCCCTACTTAATTTCCCTACTTAATTTCCCTACTTTATTTCTCTACTTAATTTCCCTATTTATTTTCAATACTTAATTTCCCTACTTAATAACCCTACTTAATTTCCCTACTTAATTTCCCTATTTAATTTCCCTACTTAAATTCCCTATTTAATTTCCCCTCTTAATTTCCCTACTTAATTTCCCTACTTAATTTCCCTACTTAATTTCCCTACTTAATTTCCCTACTTAATTTCACTACTTAATTTCCCTATTTAATTTCCCTACTTAATTTCCCTACTTAATTTCCCTACTTTATTTCTCTACTTAATTTCCCTATTTAATTTCAATACTTAATTTCCATACTTAATAACCCTACTTAATTTCCCTACTTAATTTCCCTACTTAATTTCCCTACTTAATTTCCCTTCCTTAATTTCCCTACTTGATTTCCCTATTTAATTTCAATACTTAATTTGCCTACTTAATAACCCTACTTAATTTCCCTATTTATTTTCAATACTTAATTTCCCTACTTAATAACCCTACTTAATTTCCCTACTTAATTTCCCTATTTAATTTCCCTACTTAAATTCCCTATTTAATTTCCCCTCCTAATTTCCCTACTTAATTTCCCTACTTAATTTCCCTACTTAATTTCCCTACTTAATTTCCCTACTTAATTTCACTACTTAATTTCCCTATTTAATTTCCCTACTTAATTTCCCTACTTAATTTCCCTACTTTATTTCTCTACTTAATTTCCCTATTTAATTTCAATACTTAATTTCCATACTTAATTTCCCTACTTAATAACCCTACTTAATTTCCCTACTTAATTTCCCTACTTAATTTCCCTACTTAATTTCCCTTCCTTAATTTCCCTACTTGATTTCCCTATTTAATTTCAATACTTAATTTGCCTATTTAATTTCCCCATTTAATTTTCCTAATTAATTTCCCTACTTAATTTCCCTATTTAATTTCCCTATTTAATTTTCCTACTTAATTTCCCTACTTAATTTCCCTATTTAATTTTCCTACTCAATTTCCCTACTTAATTTCCCTACTTACTTTCCCTACTTAATAACCCTACTTAATCTCCCTGTATGAGGATACGGGGTAAAACCGTGTGGGTTGACAGGTATGCACCAAAAGCAAATCAAATGAAATAAGGTACGACAATCAAACAAATACCTCTATGGACAATGTTAGTCTATGGGCAATGTAAGTCTATGGGCAGTGTAAGTCTATGGGAAATGTAAGTCTATGAGTAATTTAAGTCTATGGGTAATGTGAGTCTACGGGTAATGTAGGTCTATGGGTAATGTTAAGTCTATGGGCAATGTAAGTCTATGGGTAATGTTAAGTCTATGGGCAATGTAAGTCTATGGGCAATGTAAGTCTATGGGCAATGTAAGTCTATGGGTAATGTAAGTTTATGGGTAATGTGAGTCTATGGGTAATGTAGGTCTATGGGTAATGTGAGTCTATGGGTAATGCAAGTCTATGGGCAATGTAAGTCTATGGGTAATGTTAAGTCTATGGGTAATGTAAGTCTATGGGCAATGTAGGTCTATGGATAATGTGAGTCTATGGGTAATGTGAGTCTATGGGTAATGTACGTCTATGGGCAATTTAAGTCTATGGGCAATGTAAGTTTATGGGTAATGTAAGTTTATGGGTAATGTGAGTCTATGGGTAATGCGAGTCTATGGGCAATGTAAGTCTATGGGCAATGTAAGTCTATGGGTAATGTAAGTCTATGGGTAATGTAAGTCTATGGGTAATGTGAGTCTATGGGCAATGTGAGTCTATGGGCGATAAGAGAACAGCATCCATGCAATAGCTCCGTACATGTATCTGCCTGTCTGTGACATGGGGTCATGATAACAATCGAGATGCGCTTCTGCGGTCGTCTGGAACGCTCTCCCTTCAAATATTAGGAAGCCATTGGGAGCTCTGACACTTTTAAAGAATCTAGATGGACAAACTCACTTCTTTAAAACAGTTTTTTGTGTGTTTAGTTTGCTGTCCTTCCCCTGCACTTCCGATAAGCGCGGTTGGCTGAGTATGGTGCAACAAAAGTTCGACATAATACTTAGACACACACACACTCGTAAAGGTGGTGCGATATTAATTAAACTTGAATGTTAAGTCTTTTTCTTTAGTACGGCTGATGTCGATAACTAAATCGTAATCACATGCGCAGTGGACACTGACGGGCTATCTGCCCATGGATCGCGATGATGATGGTGATGATGGTGGTGATCATGTCGATCAGGGGCGAGGAACCTTTTTTCTGCCCAAGGCCATTTGGATATTTATATAACATCATTCGCGGGCCATGCAAAATTATCAACTTAAAAATTAGCCCGTTATATTTGGTCAAACATTTTAATTAACTCGCCCCTAATGCGATGGCTGGAACTGCTTCTCTTTGCCGAGGCGTGTGATGATGTTGACGATGTTGCTGCTACTCGCAAAACTCCCTTTCCACGTTTGCTCTACCTAGATTTGTTGAATGTCGAGTCCCGCCTGCGCTTGCCTTGGAAGGGCCAGAGACCCAAATTATTTCGCGGGCCTCCCACGGCCCCGCGGCCCGGACGTCCCCCCACCCGTGATGCAGATGCTGAAGGCTGCAATGTCACATCCAGGCGGTGTCAAGCCACAGAGAACCTCGTCAGGAGCCAACAGCGGAGTGGTCGTGCGGCTGTGATGAAGCCTCATCCTCCTCCTCGCCCTTCGCGTGTGTGTGGATCTGGGGGGACGTCGTTCCCCCAGATCCACACAAGACTTACGGCCCTGTTCTGGATGACGCACAGAGCTCACGCTGCCAGAGAGCCTTGTTTTTACACGCTTTCATTTAACTCACTCGGTCTGTCGTCGTTGTTGTTGTATCCTCAAATCTTGTAACTCAATTTTATCCCCGACTTCCCCATGTGGTATCGACTGCAAACTTGGTATACTGGTGTCATACTGGTCTCGTGCCACGACTTGTCACGAACTCCGTTCAGCCCCTCTCCAAAGTAGCTACTACGTTAAATTTTGATTTAAAGCTTTCGTGACTGCAGTAATTCATATTCTTAGCTCTTTCGGTAAAGTCACGTTGAAGGGAAACAACAAAATAATAAAATATATATAAAACAATAAAAATATATTTTATATATATAAAACAATAAAAATATATTTTATATATATTTTATTATTTTGTTGTTTCCCTTCAACGTGACTTTACCGAAAGAGCTAAGAATATAGCTACAACGTTGTTTACTGTTGCTGCTGCTACGATAATCCGGCACCGGCGTAACGGGGCGTCGTGGAGGCGTGGGTAGGGGAGCTGAACTCACGTTGTCGTAGGTTAGGTGCACGGTAGTCCAAAAAAAACAAGGTGGGGGGTGGGGGGGGGCTTTGCCTGATTGTCTTCCGAGCGACATCGAGAAGGGGGGGGGGTGGGG